TTTCTTTCATGTTCTCTGCAGTGGTTGGTCGTTCATGATAGATTCGATCACCAGATCTCACTCCCCTCGATTTCTATCTGTGGGGAAAACTGAAGGACGAAGTCTATCATAACAGAAATAAAGCCAAATCTCTAACATGTCGAATTAGTATTAATTCCATATTTCTGGGTTGGAGGTCATTTGAAGGTCATACTATGTTACATGGTTGGATTCGTTTCGATGCCGGCTACAATGTGCAAGGAGAAAAAATGTGCCATTCCATTTAAAAAAACTCTGATAACCTTGAAAAAACTGGTAAAAAATGAAATAAAAAAAAAATATTATGATAACCATGGGCGCCCTTCCGAATCATGTAAATTCCGATATTTGCGAACTCCGTATCTTTAAATCCAATAAAGTTATTTAGGTGTTCTGTTTCTCGCGCCTCACCCTGTATAGTGGAATTGCCAGAAATTAAATTGTATTGGTCTAACAACGACATGTATGCGAACGCACGCATAAAAAAGGCAATGAGACGTGACCGTTTTCTACCTATTCTTAAGTTTTTACATTTTTCGGACAATACCATAGCCAGAACTGAAGATCGGTTGCACAAAATTCGAAATATTATTGAAGCAATTATGGATAACTTCAAGAGTTCTATCAAACCAGGCAAAAATATCGTTATCGATGAAAGTATGGTTCCATGGAGAGGACGTCTAGTTTTTCGTCAATATATATCCCAGGCAAGCGACATAAGTATGGCGTAAAAACATATAAATTGTGTTTGCCTGAAGGCTACACTTATAATATCGAAATTTATGCCGGGAAAAATGGAACGAACATCGAAAAATCACATTCTCATGATGTAGTAGATTATTAACAGTTTGGCTGCTGACGAGCGCTATCGCGCCCTTCTTATGTTACGCCAAAAATGCGAAGAGCGCGATAGCGCTCCTCTTTTTTTTTCGATGCCTAGACCGCGGAGTGCGTAATAATGCTGATCCAGAACGCTAGAATTTGTGTGTCCAGTGAAGCACCTTGCGTTTGCGGAGCATACGATTTTTAATTGTTGTAATAATATTACATATTTCAAATCTACTTTTTTTTTTTGTTAAATAACGGTGAACCCAGTGTCTGATATTTGGAGTGAAACTGACTCGGAATCGTGGACTGATGATGAAATGCAAGTTTGTGACAACGAAAGTGATAGCGGAAGTGATATTATTATTCCTAAAAAGAGATTACGGGCTATTAGCGAGAGCAACGATGATGAACTAACCGAAGACTGCACCGAACATGCCTCTGTTGATGAATTTTTGGATTTGGATACACGGTATTCGAATGAAAAGTATTCTTTTACGGAGGTTCCTGGTCCACAACATCCGCCTGATTCTGAAGCAAAACCAATTGAATATTTCTCCATATTCTTTTCGATTTCCCTAATCTCTACAATGGTTACCGAAACAAACCGGTACGCTCATCAGTTTTTGAGTACCAGCAAAACTTTGAAGCGTCTATCACGTGAAAAAAAATGGAAACCTGTTACCATACTAGAAATGAAAGCATTTATTGCTGTTTTGTTAGAAATGGGTATTACTAGACGTCCAACAATGATGTGTTATTGGAATAGAGGCTCAAGGCAAATACCGTGGTTTGGAAGAATGTTTCCTAGGGATAGGTTTTTATTGATTATAAAGTTTTTCCATCTGGTTGACAATACCACTTTGGCACCACCAGGACATCCAGATTACGATCCATGTGGAAAGTTTAACTTTCTTGTGGATTATGCCAATAAGATTTTCCATGAAAAGTATACACCGCACCAACAGTTGAGTATCGATGAATCACTGGTGGGCACTCAATGTCAATCGAGCATAAAGCAGTACCTTCCTAATAAAAAGCACCACAAATGGGGGATCAAATTTTGGATACTTTGTGATTCTATTTCAAAGTATTGCTTAGGATTTCTTTGTTATCGAGGCGCAAAGTCAACCGAAAATAAGGAAGAAATAAAAAAAGAATGGATTGGGATATGTTGTTGTCCAACAATTATTAAATTTAGGAAATTATTTGAATAAAGGATATCATGTTTTCACCGATAACTTTTTTACAAGCATCCAACTAGCAAAAGTATTATTGCAAAAAAATACATATATAACTGGTACTATTAGAAAAAATAAAAAAAACGTCCCAAAGAAGGCCAAATCTGCAGATGTTGGTAAATCTAAATATTTTGAAAGCAACGGAATTCTTACAATTCTTACAACAAACTGCACTACAGATAACGTAGTCGTTACAAAGAAAAGAGAAATGTACGAGTCAGAAAAGACTAAACCTTCTGTTATTCACAATTACAACAAGTTCATGGGTGGTGTGGACGAAGCAGATAAAATGCTTTATACATACCTAGATGAAAGAAGACCAATGAAATATTGGAAAAACGTGTCATTCAGCATTATTGGAAGAATGGTCTTAAACGCCTACATAATATACTCTGAAAATAATAAGGGTAAAAAGCTAACCAGGTTACAATTTGTTTCAAGTATTATTTATGAAATTGAAAATGAATGGTTCGCAAACAAAAACAACGCATATAAACAATATACATCATCTACACCAACCCAAATATTTAGTCTTGAAAAGCTACCTGGACGAAATTTGCGGCGGTGCGTGGAATGCAGCAGTAAACATGGTGGAGAAGTTAAACGTTCAAACCTAATTTGTTCTATTTGTAAAAAGGGAATTCATGCGCTTTGTATAGCAAACCACCCGTGATACCCGTGAAATATAAAAAATAAAAAAATAAAAATATTTAAAAAAAAAACAAAAAAAATAAACAAAAAAAAAACAAAAATAGAGCCAAATCTTACCACGTCCCCTTCGTTGGTTCTGGGTCACGCTAAAAGTAAGACATGTCCTAGTCTAAACAATTCATGCAAAACTAGAAAGTCGGTTAATGCTATAATTCATAACTGAAAATCAGCATTTCAAGGTCATAAGGCTGAAACGTCGATAATGACCTTACCCACACGGAAATATATATATTTTGTTTGTATGTGAAATATATCTCAATATATTTGGAATATATGTAATGTGACGTGAATTTCGGAAATTCAGTCACAAAGATTGCTAGGAGTAGGGAAAAGACATAATCCACCTGCAACGATCCTCCAAACGTCAGTCATCCGACATTCCAAAGATGACTTTGCTTGTCTCGCTTATCGTGTATGCATTCTGTTTCCGCCTATCGTCCTTTCTGCTTATTTCTGTTCCGCCTTTCTGCTTTTTTTCGTTTTTATTTTTTATTTTTCGAGCTTTCCTATTCGCACTCGCCTACCTTCTTTACCGTCCTGGGCGAATCTACGTCTACACCACGAGCACGAAGCTGACCGCCAACGAGAGTTCCTGAGCTACCGGACGAGCGATCGACAGAGGCTGGACCAAACTGCTGTTCGTTCCGGAGGACTTCCGTGGAGCCAAGGAGACCCGGGATGGGATCCCTCTAATACTTCTGCCGGCCGCCCATACGGATCGCAGAAAAGGGCCTTCGCCACTCGTGCCGCCGATAGGAGGAAAGGATAATCCTCTATCGTGTGCCGCCCAGTCGCCAAACGTTCCCTAGCGCTCCTGTTATCAGTGGCCCCCGGAGAAGAAACCAGGGACTACTCTTCGCTGGATCCTGCTGCTCGCACCGAGGACTCATGATCGGCCGCACCAAGGATTCCCGCGCTCAGCTCGGCTCTCTCCGTCTATCTTCGGACTCTAGCGCCTAATGCTTCGTCTCTGGCTACCGTCAAACGTTAGATTTACCTATTCTGTATTATTATATTGTGTTTTCGCTCTACCGCACGAATTAGGAATTAATAATTTATGGAGGGGGGCCCCTAGGGCTCTTCCTCTGGCGACGAATTCCGGCTCGTTCACTTACGTTTGAAGCATCTCAGCCAGTGGTCGCGTGAAGTAATCCGTACCAGTGAACTAAGAGCAGCCGATATCCAATTTATCTTGTATATTATATCGAAGGAACGAAGTATTGAAGGACGAATATTATATCGAGGACTCGCCTTCTTTTCTGGATTTCGTATCTTATATAGTTGGTGAGCACCTTTCGTTACCGTTATTTTGGAGATTTTGGTGAATTTAATTGAAGTAATCCCGTCTAGGCGCTTTGTCTCGACGGCAAATTTTCTCGCTTACCGGGACTGAATGTCGTTCCAGTCCCTCTAAGTAAAAGGACGATAGTGCCGGATACCGTTATCTTATTTCGTTTTTCTTTTCTTATCGTAGAGTACTTAACATTGAATATATTGTAATTAATTGCGTTTTGCGGTAACTTAGTACTTTGAAATTGTCGAATATTTTATAAGTTACCAATTATCTTCTCGACCACGTGGAAACACCTAGGGTCCCGGCGTCTCCGGCTTGGCCGTTTCCCGTTGAGTCTGTTTAGCTGTTTCTAGCGAATATCTTTTGGGGCTTTTCTCTCTTTTCCGGCGTTATATGTCGCTTTATTATCCTGAATTTTAACTTCAAATAATTCTTTTCTTTGTCTTATATTGTTCACATATTTTTCGATTCCGTTATTAGGAATGGCATCGTCCTCTTTATTTAATTGATATTTTAATTTCTGGAAATTCATAATTACCGTCTTAGTGTAATATTTTCGATACCTTACGCCGTTGGTCGAGCGTAGAGTGACCTTTTTTTTGAGTAATCGCCCGAGTCGACAATACAGGACGCACTGACTATCAGTGGCGTACCTATTAATTTATTTTTGCCCATCACTCTATTCTGGTGATAATCTTTCGAGAGATTGCCATTTCTTTTAACTATTGTATATTATTTGTACTGCCTGTGTTAATTTATTTAAGTGTATCTTATACCTGTGTGCTAATCGCCATAATTATATCGCCCAGTTTCTGACTCTTTCCAATTGTCGGGAAATATCGCGAGTGAATTTGTTACCAGGTTTTCGTACCGATACGAATTTAGACCTTTGTTCTCGCGTTTATTTTGTAGTCTCCGGTTTATTGAAATATTGTCGAAAGTATCTTTTGCGCCGGCGCGGATCCGTCCCGCTGCCATGTCGTATCGCTACAGGGCCGTAGTCCCTCGCTAATTCCGCGTTTCGTTTTAAGAATTTTAGTTTATATAGAATCTTTCAAGAACTTTTTGTTTTGTATTATTATTTTAAGGATTCTGTTACTTGGTTTCGCTTTCGCACCCCTTTGAATCTCGCTAACCATTTGCTTTATCTTTTCTGCTTTCGACACGC